AACGTTTGTTCGAACTGATAAGAGTGGGCGTTTTATTATCTACTCCCAAAGCTGCTTGTGCAGCTTAAGAAAATTACTTGATAGTTTTTGGTTTACATAATTCACTTAAGCTGAGTAAAGATTTTGTGAAATGCGACAAAAGTGGGAAAGCATGGGAATATAAAATGAACATAGAACATCTAATTTTTATCATATTAGCTGTACAACTACTTGAAAAACAAAACACACACACGCAATAAAAAGGTTAACAAGGTTCGAAACACGTTTAGAAAATTTGCCACAGTTTTTAAACGTTCTTTAATGACTCTTTAAAAGGAAAGCGTAATCGCGGTTCTGTGAAACAGAATGGTCGTTTCGTTGAAAAGACATAATTCCTGTATTATGTACGGATAGTCTCCGTGAGAGATGCGGCACACTGACCATCAAAACAAACTCATGTCTTGCAAACAACGGGATTACGACTTCGGGGCTTATCACGCCCACCTTCCGACCGGTATTTTTCATATGTAGGTTTTTTCGTCGCATCAAGATAGCACGCAGATAGCACGCGTGGGTGCGCGAAGCGGCAAAACTTCGATATTAAAGGTTATTTATCAGAAGAAAATAAGTGCGTGTTCTTATGGGTTTTTTTACGCAATACAGAGTCGCTGTGTATTTTCCCCGAGCTTTATAACGATGTAAAATTAGCCCCGTACATGTGCGCGAGCGGAAACATTTGTCAAGATAATAAGACGATGTCGCAGATAACAAGAAAAATCACACAGTTCTGAAACAGTTTTTTTTTTTATACTTGATTTTTTTGTCTTATCCGCTCTGAAATATGATCTGAAATTAAACCTAAAATATTCAGTGTGCGCGTCGCATATTAAATGTAACACCGCGGAAGGTAAGAAACGCGAAAGGTAAAAGACGGGTTTGTGTGAAGTTTGAGATATTTCTGTAACATTTCGTAATATATCTATTCGCTTGAGTGTGCATATCCGGCGGGATAGTTGGAAACATCGCTCGGTTAAAAATGCGACTTTTTAAAATTTTTTGCTTAATAAAAAGTTGGAGGATAGCACAAAGGATAGAAGTTAAAGCGTAGCCATTAGTGAAAACACGCCGCTCTCTCGCGACGGAAGTAACTAGGCATCTAGAAATGATCTATCTTCCGGACGTGATAAATATTGTCAGATAATGTACGTTCTGGCAAGTTATCGCGCGCTTAGAATTATACTCTTTGCGAGCTTTACGAGCGCACTAGAAAACTTGTAGATAAGTAATGTTGTAAATAGTATATAATTTTTTGTTTTTTATCTCGATGTAAAACGTAACACGTGACAAATTAATGATACGATACGCGAGTATCATTGAAGAAGTAATATTGCAATATTATCTTAACTTGTGCATGTAACAAGAGAACGCGATAATGATTCATTATAGATACTCCAACATTTTTCTTTGTGAACACTTTGGCAATTACTTTTGTGTGATTTATTTTTTTTTTCGTTTCCTTCTTATCAATTCCGCACGACGGATATCTTTATTCTTCGCTGTCCAACTTAATTTCATTCCTTACGTCAAAAGTCCGGAAACAAAGCGAAGTTCTTCATTGTTGAATCTGAGTTCTAGTGAACGAAGTGACGGAATTTCGCTCACAAAGACCACGTCGTCTTTTAGTTTAATTAAAGTAGAGACTTTTTTTTCGCGAGCAAGAAAACGTAAAACGTCTTTCTTCTGTTTGAAGAAACGGGAGTCACTTTATGAAGAATAGATTCCGCGCTTTATGTCACATTGTTTTCCGCTTTTTTCCCATTGCGCACTTTTTCCATGCGAAAAATCTGATGCGCGCAATTCGTGCATTCTAAATGTATAAACAACACGTACTTTTCTCATCTCTTCCGGCAATAAATGAAACTGAAATTCTTTGGCGTTCAATTTGCCAGTTCGTCGGAAGCCGTCCCTTCGTGCTGTTTACCGAGATGATCGATCGAGCTAGACTTTGAACTACCTTTATTTGTGATCACACAAATAAGAATTCACGGACAAAACAAACAGTAAAATCTTATTTTACTTTACATTGGTTTCAGATTTCTGAAAATCGAAAGATTGGTGTTTTAGTAATTTATTAAATATGCTCAAATATTCACGCGTCAAATAAACTCGTCAAAAACGATGTTCAGAGAGAAACAAAATACGTTTCTTGATAGATTAGCACAACACAAGCGCGCGCTACGCGCACGCTAATATTATTTTTATTTTCATGTGTTGCATCAGTGAACACAACCTGTCACCGAGATGACAGCTAATATATACATCTTATAAACTATGTAATACACATACGAGAGATGTCAAGAATAACACATAAAAATCAAACTCAAAAAATAAAAGAAAGAGAGAAGAATGGAAAAACAACACGTGACTAAAGTCACGTAACAAAGAAAAGAGTAAAAAAAAAATATTATCCATATACATATATTATATATAATATACATATATTATAGATAATATTTTATATCTATATATAATTCACACACACACACACATATATATATACCGTAATCACGTGACCGAGGTCAGTGACCCCCCCCCCGCCAAGGCCGCGCGACCAAGGTCAGTAACCCCGCCAAGGCCGCGCGGCCGAGGTCACTGACCCCGCCAAGGCCGCGCGGTCGAGGTCACTGACCCCGCCAAGATCGTGCGGCGGAGGTCAGTGACATTACTGTAGTATGTATATAATACATATTATACAATATAAAGTATAATATTATAAATATATAATAAGTTATATGTATAATATGTATTATTTAATGTTATATATAATATAAATTACACAGTCACGTTATTTCACGTGTTGTTTTTCTACTCTTACGTGTCAAGTGACTTTACTTTAGTTACGTTTTTAATTTTCTCTACATATACGACAAACTGTCTCAAAATCGCTTTTCATTATTTACTCTCTCGATCTTACCGATTCGATTCGACTCGATCAACCAACCAATCGGCAACGCGGAAAAGAAGCAACAATAGATGCGATACATTCGGCTCCAAAACGCGCACTTCGCGAAACACATGGATTTTTTTATACTAGCACATCACAGACGCGCGCTACGCGCACGCTATTATTTTTATTTTAACATATTCCGTCAGTAGACACAACATGTCACCGCGACAGTAGTACACATACGACAGTGGCTGTTTTCCTTTTAAGAGACAAAGTCGACACAAGTCGACACAAAAGTTATTTTGTCTTCGTTAAGTATTCAGTAAAAAACAAAGACAGAATGACTCTTGTGTCGACTTGTGTCGACTATCTCCTAAAAGGAAAGCAGCCAGTAATACCTCCGATAGTACCGATCGCTTCGACAATGTTCCTCGCGGCGTAGTGATTTCGCGCCGGCAACACCTCCAATATAACTTTTTTTACTAAACTGTTTTGAAACTTGACATGAAAAAAATATAAACTATAAACTTCCAATTTATAATAAAGTTATGATAAAAATTTAATTCAGAAAACGAATAAAAAAATTTTTTTCGCGCTAGCAACACCTCCGATATAAAGTTTTTTAATAAACTGTTTTGAAACTTGGCACGGAATAACTATAAACTATATATTTTAAATTTATAAAGTATAAAATTAATTCAGAAAACGGAATAAGCAAATTTTGCATAAAAATCAGACTTCGGCAATACCTCCGACCGTGGTGGGGGCAGAGCTGTCTATCGCAACGTGATAGTTTCGCGCCGGCAACACCTCCGATATAACTTTATAATAAACTATGTTGAAACTTGGCAAAATACCTACAAACTTATAAACTTCCAATTTATGATACAAAATTAATTCAGAAAATAGACATAAAAACATGTATTTTGCGGCGGCAACACTTCCGATATAAGGGTTTTAAATAAATTGTTTTAAACCTTGGCACGAAATAGCTATAAAGTGTATACTTTAAATTTATGAATTCGAAACCGAGGTCAGTGATCTCACCGCATTCACGTGACCGAGGTCATTGATCTCACAGCATTCACGTGACCGAAGTCATTGATCTCATCGCCGTCACGTGACCGAGATCATTGATTTCATCGCAGTCACGTGATCGAGAAAAAACTTTTTTAAAATATAAAAAAGATTTAATGTAAAAAAACTTGGTGCGGCTGCCTCAGACTGCCGCACAAAAAAATAATTTTATTATAGTTGTGGAGCAGTCGCGCCAAGTTTTTTTGCATTAAATATGTTGTATATTTTGAAAAAAGGTTTTTTTTGTTAGATCTTTATGTTCTAGTAATAAATATAATCTTACCAAAGTACATAGTTATGTACTTAGGATTAGTTATTAATAATCACACGGAAAAAAAGTTAAAGCATAATCTTACTATAGACACAATTATGTTGTATATTTTTCAACAATAAAACAGGTGTTTAGAAAAAAATGTTTTGTAGTATATAATAACGAAAAAAAAGTTAAGGCATAGTCTTACTTTTGACACAAGTATGTTATTGCAAACTGTATTTCTATTCAATATTGTTTTCTATTGTATATTGTTTTTCAATATAATAACGTACGAAAGTTTACTTGGTGCTACTTTTTGATATCACTTCTTTTGTAAAACATGGTTTTAGAGAAAGAATGTTTTGTAGTATATTATATTTTGTAAATCAGGTTTTAGAGAAAGAACTTCTTGTAGTTTGTAAAAACATTTTAGAGAAAAAAGTTTTTGTAGTAAAAAAGAATGTTTTGTAGTATATAATGTTGTAGAACAGGTTTTATAGAAAAAGAATTGTTTGTAGTATTAAATTAATTTTTAATTTATTAATTTAAATACAATAAACTTCCACCACACCATATATGGTGTGCGTGTACTTGGCGCCTGTTCTTATATTTTTTTGAAGTTTATTTACTTTAGAATATTGGTGCTGTAGTATTGATATATATTTTGAAATATTGATATTTTCTTGTCTTCGCGTACAGACGAGATACATATTCAGAATACTGCTAATTATTCGTCGTTTTCAGGCTGTGTCGGATCTTCTGCTCGGCGTGTTCTGCATGCCATTTACACTTCTGGGCCAGATTCTCAAGAACTTCGTTTTCGGTCTCGCGATGTGCAAGCTGATCCCGTATTTCCAAGGTAAGCTTTTCTTATCTTGCTCGCGACGCGACGACGTAAAATTGGAATATTATTGGAAACGAATTCTTATCTCGCGGTTCCACGTCGTAACAACGTAATCAGAGAAATTGTCACTGTGATACGGACGCGGTTGTAGAAATTGCGAAAAAGTATCGTTTAGTGCTTATTTTCTTTGGTCTTTTCTGAGCTATGCAACATCTAAGAAGAAAATTTATTAGGTAGCTTATTAGACTGATAAAAGAGATTGTTTTATACCACCGTCGCCGTTACTTGACTGCGACAATCTGTTAAAGCGAGAAGCTGAAGCTAATTATTTATCAAAAACCTGGCCTGCCCGCTCTTAAAGTATCTATGTTGCAACACATTTTCCGGTACTTAACTCTTTCAAACTATTAAGGTAGAGACGCTTTTGAAGACGAGAGAGAGAGAGAGAGAGAGAGATAGAGAGAGAGAGAGAGAGAGAGAGAGAGAAGAAGAAGAGAAATTCGTAAATATACTGTAAAAAAATTTATGCGGATACAATAAGTAATTTTTTTTTCATCGCTCAATAACTTTCTTAAGCAGATTTTGTTTTACGCTGTTTTATTGCATTAATTTATGTATCGTCTCAAGTAGAATATTCGTTTTACGAGCGAAAATAACTTTTCATTAACTCTAGCATTGCTGGAATTTTCAGCTGCATTAGAAGTGAGGCGGAGTTAATCTTAACATATGAATTTATAATTTTATTATGCACAAGTATTAGCATAATTGCTGTAGCACCGATGCAATTATAAGTACTTTTTCAAAAATGCGCTTTGCATATGCGGAGAAAATAATATCTCCCACAAAAAATGGAAAGCCAGTAGGATAATATTCTTTGTTTATTTAATTTTTGTTCAACTTTTCATTCCAAAAACAAACGACTACGGTTTTGTAACATGTTTTTTACGAAACATATATACAGGACTGACTTTAATATAATTATAAAATGTTGTGTTAATTATTAACATTCACATTTTTGCGTGAAAATAAAAACTGCGGATTACATTAAATGTATTAATAAGCGACTGCTAAATCCAGATTGATTTTGCGTAATCGAAAGTTAATGCGCGAAAGTTATTTGGTGGTCAAAGTGGTTTTGATTTGTAGTGTATAAACGTTTGCGTTGACCGAATTGAGAGATTGAGCACTTATCGTTGTTATTGGACGAAAATTGGATACATCTGTTATGCGACGCGACAGATAAGCTTTTTGTGCGTTTCAACTTGGCGTTACCTCGCGTGTAATTAGTTTTTTCGGCGATCGGTTCGACTTAATTTGCGAAAATGACTGTGTGTGTGGACGACGGTATCAAAGAAAGGAACAATTCCGTAATTTTTTTTTTTTTTACGTCTTTCCATCGCGTTCCGTTAGATGTTCGATAGGAGAAACATAGAGAACAGAATATCGAGCACGCGAGTTAAAATCCGTAATTTCTGTGTTTCTCGATGAGAGTTCGCTAATGCGTCAGAATTCAATCATGAAACGCAATTACTTTATTAGCAATAAAACGCGTCCGGTGATTTAATTACGTGACCTCAAACTTCTCATTTAAATTACGTACTTGTAACTAGACAATCAATTGAATTTTGAATCTCCTCGCCGGAGAGAGTCTTTCGCTCTCAATATATAAAGCAAGTATTTTTTTATATTATCGGAAACACAGAAAGTGCAGAGCTGAACTTTCAATTCTTTTATACAACCATTACCTTATTACCAATATTGACATGAAATAAAAATAATTGAGACAAAAATACTTTTTATAATATCCCATTCAACGAACGTGATTTTAACTTTTCTCAATTTATCGTGTGTTATAAAACTCCCGTCTCTCTGTCCAATAGATCTCTAATGTATAACGATCGGTCTCCTACTGACATGATACTCAAAGGGCTTGTTACCGTCAGGCGTGATATATTCGCTAACCGAGAACAGCGAATTACGAGATAGAGAGAGAGAGAGAGAGAGAGACACGAAACACCAATGTGACATAACGTTAATTTTCCGGATTACAATGTGCTCTCTCCACGTATCAGAGTGGCCGCAAATATATCCATATGTGCAACCATTTTCTGTTATAATGCCATTTCGCGACCACATCAAATTACCAGATTTTCTGTTTTAACTATAAGTAATTCTGTGCGATTACAATAGTTACAGAGAATGTGTGTACAAATAATATAAATAATTGGAGAACAAAACACTGTTCGAACACACAGTCGGTTCTTTTTAGCGACGCGTAAGAAACAAGAGGGACTGATTTGTTTTAATGAGCACACGCTTCGCGAAATGTATTATCGCAGAGAACGTTTTATCTACATACGCCGGTTGTTAAAAAAGTGACATGTTTTCGTAACGATTACGAGTATCTTCTGTTCCTCACAAAAGAGTTTATAGTTTTCATAACGAGTTAATTACGATCGAGTATGGCGATTTTACATTGCGCTTTTATTATCACATTTATATAAATGTTTTATTGTGTATTTACATAACAATTTATTTACAGAGTTTTTCATGTTTATATTCATTTGTATAATTGGTCATTGAGTCTCGCGTTAAAACATCGCCTCTGAATAATAATCTCCACCGGAGCCTGTAAAAAACAGGATGACGATGTTGTTATTACTTCCCGTTTGGAGTGGCCAATGCAAAATGTGGAAGTCAGCGTTTTCTGAAAACGAAACTTCCGGCAGCACGAACATGTTTATTTTGCGTTACAATGATCGCGATATGTGTATCCACTCGCGGGAATTAAACGCGCAGCATTGATGAGAGAGAGAGAGAGAGAGAGAGAGAGAGAGAGAGAAAGCGTGAGGATATTCTCTAATATTCTTTCCATAAAGAAAAACGATTCCGCATGAACTTTTGTCGCTTTTACAAATATCTCAAGAACACACTTTGACATTTATTTCTGTACTCGTTCGATGCGTATGACGCGTGCAACGTTAATATTGCCTCGCATTTCTGACGCACCGATATGTATTTTTATTTCTTGATTTAAAAAAAGCAGATTTTGATATCAAAATCTTTGTCACAGTCTAAATCAATAACTCGCTGACATTTTTCATTTGCTCGCGTTTTGTGTTTGCCTATTAATTCTCACATGAAAGTTCAAAATACACGAAGTAGTGCAACTGTAAAACCGATCGTAACTTTTTTTTACACGCGCAGTAAACTGTCTGGTAACATGAGGGAGAGGAGTCGAGAAAAATCAAACAAAATCCGAGACAGAAATTGTGCGACACGTTTTGCTTCATCTAGGATTTTTTATTTCCGCGTTGAGATTTTCTCGACGCGTCCGCGACTACACGGCAAGCGTTTTGGATTTTCGAGTTTGCAAGTTTGTGCGTGCGCGCGCAAACAAAAATTCATGCAATCTTTTTTTTTTCCCACCGAAATCCCTCATGAGATTGAAATCGCACGTTTTTCGCTCGTGTCGCGGATATATCGTTTCTTTTCGCGGTGACACTTTTATTGTCACGCGGCGCAAACGAGAGTGGGACATAATCGTCGTTTTCCTCCATTGTCATAGATTTTACGTAATCGAACCTGTTTCAGAAGGGACGCTGAATTCGCGACGCTGCCGTCGTTTCGCTTCTATTGCTGTATATAAAACAATGTGGGGTTTAAACCGCGGGAAAACCTTTCACGAACGAACGGTGGTAGATGCAGTGTACGTAATAAAATATATCACGAAGGACTTGCATAATGCACGTATACTGTTTTCACAGTTTAATGAGCAAGCTCCGTGCCGCGTCGTATTAATCTAATGCATTAATTACGTCGATTGATATGCGTTGGTAACGCGAAATCCAAAGCTCTTTATGCAAATTTGCGTAAGAACGTGATTGGCTTGACTGAAAACGACGGATGATATCGGACGCTTGAAAAATATGACGTTATTGTAACATTAACTGTAAAATTTTTTTCACAAACAAGCGTTGTTCGCAATTGTTTTATATATTTTTTTTTTCGGCTTTCGTTTCGCGCGTTGCAACGCACAGAAACAGAGTAATATCATTATTTTCGAAGTTCTGTTGTATATTCGCGCGAACAAAAAAGAAAAATTTTCAATTCAAAGTAACATTGTGTGTTTCGCGCATTTTCTTTTTAGCCTTGGAACAGAGTAAAGATCGTGAGATAGATGCGCCTTCCGTTCGTCTTGCTTGTAAGAGAGTAAAGTCTCGCGGCAAAGCACATTCAAGAAGCGGATATTCATCGAATACATTGGCACATTCAAGAGCAACGCTTGAAATACCAGCGTCCTTCTCGCTTGGTATTTTCTCTTAGTCAATTTGCGATATGCTTTATCGCGATTTACATTAAAACGCAGAGAGATGAAGAGAATCGCTTGGTCGAAGAAAATTAGTCGAAAAATATAGCGAGATGTAAATAGCAATTCGAGAAACTCCGAAAGAATAAATAAATGTTAATAAATTGCAAATAATTGCTTTTTTTTATTCGAGATATTAACGTCGATATATTTGAGAGAGCTTTGATAGATCAAGTAGCTTAATGTAGTGTCTCGCGTAATCAAGTTCACGTGTAACGCGACAGCGAGGTCAACTTTACGTGCCTTTTTAAAGAGAGGAAGGTTTATAATTAACTTTTTGCTGTAATGAAAGCGAATTAGCTTAGCGTATCGTCTTTTTCCATCCACGTTTTTTTTCCTCAAGTTCTCTCTCTCGTCAACATTTTTTTTTCGTTCAACTTCACGATGAAAATGGCGATGTTATTGTTGTCAACTTTGTCTTTGAGAGCAAGATAAAATACAAGAGGAAATAATTTACGTGAAACGTAGCGCAATTTAAAAAAATTTCTAAATAAACAGAAATAAGCGTTAGGAAAAATATTTCACGATTTGTATCGAATAAACGCGTCGTATTTTACTACGTGTTTTAATCGCGCATGAACTTCGTGTGTACTTATTGAACGGAAATTCTCAAAGGAAGTAATTTGTCGAAACAAATTGATATTGCGATCTATATACACAAATGATGGAGAGAAATAATTGCAACGCGCGATACCTGCAAAAAACTTCTACTGTTTTAGTATATTATGCTTAACGATTAAACTGTTCGATTTTATTCGAAATTAACTTTCTTTTCGAGACTGTTTGAAAGAAAAACTCTTGTACAATTTTACACTAAAACTTCTTTGCTAATAACCTTGACACGAAAACAGCTCACCTTGCACTCGTTAAAAGATTTCGTAACCGAGATCGATTTCCTATATAAGATCTGTTTTTCCTTCATCTGTATGCTTTGAGCTGTATGTCGAGAAAATTGTTTGACGACACTTTCAAGTCGAAACTTTACTCTATAGCCTTCGTGCGATAAATGAGAAGAAAGCTACGATCGTCCGGAGTAGAAGCGATTCTCCGCGGAAGCGTGTCACGTGTTTTCACGTTTTTTTTTGCGACGTACAAATTGCTAGTTCAAATAGTTAGTTCGAATCCTTCCAGTTCTTCTCTCTGTTATTGAATTTCTGATTCTTTTAAATCGTCGACGAAACGCGCGCCATCAATAGTTTTTTTTTTTATTTTTTTTTTATTAATAATTCAATATCGCCATGAATATAGTTTGACGTTGAACTGTAAAAAAAAAAAAACAAGAAGGAGGATTGGAAAATTATATTTTATTCTCTCTCTCTCTCTTTCTCTCTGTCTCTTCCACGTCTCGCCGGATAATTAAATCTATCGGCTTATTTAATTTCAAACTGAAGCATAAAGCTGATCAATTTATAGTTCAAAGCTATAAATTGATCAAATGTCGATACTTTGAATCACAAAAGGCCGTATTAACTGTTTTATTGTGTAAAGAGACTAGTGCACAAGATGCGCGCTATGCAAATGGATTGTCGAATTAAGCGAAGAGACGCGCGCGCGTCTCGGTAATCTATAAAAATATCAGAGATATAAAAAGTAAGCGACGCAAAGACATCGACGATAAATCAGCGCGTTTCTCGACGAGACACGCGATGCGATTCAAATATACGACAATGTCTTCGCTTCAGCTGTGTCCGTGTCGGTGGGTGTCTGGACGCTGGTTGCCATTTCGCTCGAACGCTACTTCGCCATCTGTCGACCGCTGAAATCGAGACGATGGCAGACGCAGTTTCACGCTTATAAAATGATCACTGTCGTGTGGAGTCTCAGCCTCGCATGGAACATGCCAATTCTCGTTGTGTCCCAATTAAAAGACTTGCGCGGAGGTAAGAAGAAGATGTAAATGCATTGTGCGAATAATTGTTGTTTTTGTGCTTGAATTGTTTGCGATAGATTTATGATATATTTTTCTTCAATTGCTTTGCAATCATTTAAAAATGCACAGACCGGATCTTTGTGTAAATATTTTCAATATTTGTTGAAATTGCTCCTCACATATCAAAGTTTTTGCGTTGTGTTGACATTTTCTCTCAGATTCTATGCGAATACATTTCTTCGATTTTCTCTACAAAATTCCTCAGTACCTCACAGATGGCTTATGTGTATTACACAGTATATTGGGTAAGTGCAAAAGTTTTGATAATTTCTCTAAGATACCGATCCGGTTTTACGGCAACATTAATAAATACGAACGTTGTGTGTGGCGAAAGAAAACAAAGGGAGATTACTCTTGGTACAATGAATAAATCATTTTTAATAACTCGGCCCATTTTTCTCTTTCTCTATCACGAAGTCCATCAAAACTTCTGCGCTCACCCAATATGTGCATTTGACTACCAGTATATTGAATCCTCAGGAATATTGGAATATCCATAGACAAAGAGAGTTGAGTTGTTTGTTTTAATAAAGTTTCGTTCTCTTTGTCGCAGTGTCGCTTCTTCGGTTAAGATAAAGAAATGAAATTCCAATCACGACAATTTTCACTCATGAAAACTTAATAGCGGTCTGTGTGTAACGTTTTTTTATCGTGTACATCCATAAACAAATACACATCACTAGCCAGTGTTCGAGCTTTTATTCTCTCTTTTATTTTTTGAATTTTTTGAGTCTTTTCTTCTGTTTAAATTTTTCATCAGCAAGGTTTTAATTGAATTAATTTTTTCATATAAACACACGTGACAATAGATCGCACATCCCGTTTCACATCCGCATGGCTGTCTTTTCCTGAGAAAATGCAAGCTCGACATGAGCGTGGTGAAAATTTGATCTTTTCGCTTGCGCTGCTACTTCATCCTCGTTTTATGGCTAAACGGTTGAACAACTTTTTGCGCTGCACGACAATTTCAGGAAGACGTAAGTGTCGCGAAGAGTGGCCGAGCGTTGGCACCGAGAGGGCGTACAATCTGTTCCTGGACGGCACGCTGCTCTTGATACCGTTGGTGGTCATGAGTCTTGCTTATTCGCTGATAGCGAAAAAACTCTGGCGCGGTCTGAAGCTCGAGATACGGCAGTCATCCACGTGTACCAAGAGACGTAAGTGAAGTGTCGCTTCGATATATCGCGCCGGTGACAGTGCCAATTCTCACGTTCTCAAGCTCCGCTGAGCCAGCCATGCGAAATCCTCGGAAAAATATTTTCCCCGAAGCTGCCGCCAAAGCCAATTCATTTTCCGTAGATTTTCAAAAAGCTCACCTTTTCTCTCTTTGAATGAAAATTTCATAAGTTTTACACAACAATGTGGAAAAACTTCACAAAACGCGTATTGACGAAATTGTGCGTCGCGTATAATAATAACATCGCCTAAAATTTTTTGTGTTTTATTATTGATATACCGGTTCACATTACAAACGCGTCGCTGGGCTCAACAATACAGGCAAAACTAAACTTCGATATATGTTTAATTGTTAACCTTTTTTTTGTTTCAAGAACAATGAAAGCAAACTCTAGACAAATTTTTTTTCGCGTGTTAAATAAAAATGTACGCGAGCTCAATTTAAAAATTTTCACATGGTCTTTTTCGGACAGTCTATGTAATTAAGAGCGAAGATTGTGTAAACCTTTATGAATTGCAGTCGACAGAACGGGATCTACCATGATGACGCGGACACACAACAATAACAGTGCTCAAGATGCAAGATCGTCCGCGGTAATGCTCGACGCTTGCGGCACGACTTCAAGATCACGCCGTGGCATCTCGTCTACTCCGAGGCACTTAGAAACTCCTCAGAGTGTATCATCTAAGGTAAGAGAATATTAAACGTCACTTTGAAGTTTCCCATGACGAGACAATCCTAGATTCTTACAATAAAAATGAAAATTCAAACATTCCGTTGCTAATTAATTAATTAATTTTTTTCATGGATGTTTTTCAATTTGAACAATTTTATTTTTATTATAATACATTTATGGATCTCTCGAACTTCCGCTATTTGGCGATCTTAATGCTACATTTTACGCTACTCATGTCGAATTGATAAAGTTAAAACAATTTGTCACCGTAGAAAAATATAAAAAATTAATATTTTTTTGTTTTTTTTTAAATCAATAATCAACTTACATATTTGTATCGCTCTATTAATGCCTCACATTGCAACATTCAACTCTTGATATGTAATTTGAGAAAATGGTACATTATTAACTTATCTCGTTAATGTTTAATCGAGGTTTCATGATCTAATGAAATAGTTCGTGATTACGGGCGTAAGACAAGTTTGTGGAATTAAGATGGCGGATTAAGTTCGCCTGCCATCTCGAGAACATTTCAAAGCAGCACGTGCAACGGTTAACCGTGACAACGCGTTTCTCCGTTTTCTCCCTGCTTCTCCCCTTCTAAAAAAAGGTGCGGTTACCACGGACGACGGTCTCCAGAGTGCTCACCAGCAAGTGTCACAGTACAGATCTGTCCCAGGGATCCAGGATTCAGATACGAGCGAACGGAAGCAGCTGTTTAACGCGAGACACGAAGGAGATTACTGACGAACATCAGCAGGACTCCTGTCCTCTCAGCAGACGACACGTGATACGAAGTAATTATATGGGGAAAAGCATCGAGGCGAAGAAGAAGGTAACGTGCCAATGTTTGGTTAACCGGATTGAACCGTGCCACTCGAAAGAGAGAGGGAAAGAGAGAGAGAGAGAGAGCGATAATTTCCACTTCGACAATTTAATGTGGAATTTCGCGTGCATGCATTTAAAGTGCACATTGCAAGCTCTCTCTCTCTCTCTCTCTTTCTCTCTCTTTCTCGGCGGTGTTCGGGGGCGCATGGAAAGATTTAGAAAGTCCCGTTTTCTACGAAATCGTGGAATCTGGAACGAATATAGGAAAAGCCTGTTATTGCAGCGCACGCTAGGTCACGAGATATTTATCAACCCTCTCACCCCTCTCTCTCGCGGCTATATTAACCCTTTATTATCCACTTGTAACATTCACGTCCAAAGAATTTTATATTCGTACTCTTTTTTTACGAGCACAACAACGTAGCACACAAATCGCACGTTTTCCCTCGTTATATATTCGTATTTAGGACAATTTAATTCCGCATATCGCATGCACACCGCGCGTGTGCCAGTCATGCTATACTCGAATCAAAAGACAGTAGTACATACTGCATGTCGGAATGTTAAGCTACTTTCTTTTTGAATACGCAAGGAGCGATTGATGAATATCCGACACGAGGTCAGAGTATTATAGCATCATTTCTAGTGTCGTTGACAAGTTTCATTCTTCAAACGCTGGCTTATCTTTGCGCATGTTTGTGTGACAGCTCGCCAAAGTATAGCCATTTACGACATCGATGACTTTGTTGGAAAAATTTTCCATTGAGTCATATTTTTCGCGAAATAAACTGAAATTGCACGGGATCATAGCTGGCGAATAAAGACGGCAACTTATAAATTTTGGCAATAATTGAAGTAACGAGCTGGCGCGTTGTCTCGAATTACTGAGAGCGTTCACTTCGGCGAATTGTCACACAAACGTCACATGCGATCACAAGCCCAGCGTTTGGCAGACAGTTGTTTTTTTAAAAAGACAAAACTTGTCAATGGCAATGATACTATCGCTATTTACGCGTTATCTCGGATACTTATCAATCACACCACCGCTTAAAAACGTGTGCGCGCGCACACACGTACTAAAACGCGTGTCGCGCGCTTTTCGTTGCATCGCCAAATGCATCAGTCTCTCTTTTTCGCGATGTTGCAGGTGATCAGGATGCTCTTTGTGATAGTTCTGGAATTCTTTGTGTGCTGGGCGCCGTTGCATGTGATCAATACGTGGTACCTTTTCGCGCCCGAGCTGGTCTACTCGGTCGTCGGTAGCACCGGCATCAGTCTGGTGCAACTGCTGGCTTACATCTCCAGTTGCTGCAATCCCATCACGTACTGTTTTATGAATAAAAAATTTCGCCAGGCGTTCCTCGGACTGTTCGACTGCCATCGTTGTTGGAGGTAAAACGGACGGGCGAGCGCGAATGCGTGCGTTGTAATATTTTATCCGACGGACGAATCGCGTGGCGACGTCACAGCGGGAAAAGCATTCCCAAGCGCAAATTTGTTCTCTTTAAGAAATTGTCTCAGTTGGCTGTCGCGACGGAATTAATTTCGCGGAAGATACATAGAAGAGTTCTCGCGCGACCAAGACTCTCAAGAAAGGCCGTAATTATGTAACAGCCGCTCCCGTGCCAAACTCTCAAAGTTGCTAACGCGACCGCTCGATCAATCTCTCGCGCTTTTAGACGCTCGCGCTTCTCTCTCTTTTTCTCCTTGTCGGATATAAATTGCGGTAAAAGTAATAGAATTGAATTCTATAAATTCGCTCACGAGAACGCAAGAAAGATTAAATACGTAAAGTGGAAATATAACAAGAGATATATGTGCGCGCCCACGTAAGAGTCACTTTATCGCAACGGCAAACATCGCGTAATATATATATATTTCTGAGAAATATTTTTGATATATAATACGACGATAAATTTATTGAGTTAATTTTAAGAACTGCAAGAGAAAAAATTGCAACGGAGGAGATTGAGCTTCGACGCAAACGTTTGTTTTTTATTCTTTGTTTTTTTATAAATTTGTTTTTTTGTCGCAAATAAACGCTCGCGTCAACGCGCGTGCAATTTTATTTTAGGGTAGGTTGCAGACACGGCGACATCGCGATGGCCGCCACCGCAAACACCGGACAAGCCGGCAATAACAGCGAATTAAGCGGAAACGAGTCCACGGCGTATCTGGGCAGAGCGTCTCTTGTCGCCAGATCAGGTATCATCGCAACCAAATTGATCGTTTCATTATTGTCACTTCTCAGATCCGGTTGCGGCAATCAACATCGCCCGCGCGATGTTACGTTACGTCGCGCACCGGAAGAGATTCCATCAAATTATCATAACGTATCGTTTACATCGTTTAATTTTCAAAGTTCTGTCGAGTTTATCGCGCGTTTATTTTCGGATTTTCACAGCATTTCAAAGTAATGCTTTTTTACGTGTTTTTTCTATTTATTTACTCGCAAATGCAAACAAAGTGTGGATTTTTAAAACAACAGTTTTAATCAACAGTTTTTGTTGCATAAGAACGCTTCTGTGTGTTAAAGCGCCGACGTTAATCGATAGCGGGTTTCGCTCGGGCACATCCGGCTAGCTTCTCATAATACACGTTAGAGTTGGCTGCGCGTTGCAGCTTCCATAATACATTATCTTTAGTTTAAATTAACTGCGTATATTTACACGTGCCTTGTGTTTGTGTGTGTGATCCGCAAAACTTTTGAACAAGTAATTAATCTCGCTCTAATTCCTATTTATATAAAGCGTAATTTTATTGTGTTTCACATCTTTGGAGAGAAAGCCGAAACCAAAGTGACTAACTTTCGTTTTTCATTTCAAATAATAATTAAAATAATTTACACAAGCAATCAAAGTGACATTCTATTTTTTTTGTTATCGTTATATTATCACTGCTCAGAGGAAAAGTTTGTTTTTTCTTGCAGTTTTTGCTCGGATTGTAGTTTTGAATTTTTAATCACACATTAACGAACGTATAATTAACAACATAGAACTTTACGTCTCGAATGTATACATCTTGTGTAAAATATATCTCGGAACTTTCTCGTTATTTCCGCGCGTATCTTCGTTTTCGCAATTGGCGCAGCACTTAACCAGATTGCACATGATACATCTCAAACATGATTGAAATTTCATGGAAATTATAAGAACATCGCGCTTATCCAAAGACATTTTCAAAGAATAATACTGTTTTTATCTACGACAAATACGTTTTTTTCTCTATGATGAATAAATGCACTTTTCTGTTCTCAACCTCGACAATTCCCTTCGCCAAGTATGGCGTATTACGTACCTGTGTAACGTGCATTTTATTTGCGCAAATGACGTGAGACATGGACAATTCGCGAAGACGCCACGACGCGTGCTTCACGAGCAATCTATTTAAAAAATTGCAAAAGCATTCAATTGATAATGTGTATATTTGAGAAAAAATCAAAAATATTTTTAAAATATAATTTTTTATTCTACATATAGACAGAATGTGACTCTCGTTCCTTTCGTGCATAATTCGATTATTCAAGTTTAAAAAAAAGAAATGAGAAATAAACTAATAAATAAACTAATAATTGTGGAACTTATTATATAAACAAGACAGTACGTAATTCGGGGAAAAATGGGAATGGCATTTATTTTGAATAAGCGCAAACGTCACAAGCGCCAGAAAAAATTCTCTTATATTCATTATCTCGCTCTCTTCGCGATAAGAGAATATTGTTTGTTTTCAGAGGTAGTACGGCTGCTCGAGGAAGAGGATCGCGTCTAGTATAAGTCGTGCAGATTATACGACGAGACGGCGGGACCGACTGTACTTCTGCTTCAATCTCGGGAGAAGGAGTTTTCCCTGAAAATATCCTGGCGGTCATCCGTCGACAGCGCTTGTCATAATTGCGGTAAGAAATTCGCGTGTGCCGGCGCATCTCATTGCTCATCGAGAGATCTTCCTGCGTGGACAATCTCAATTCCTTTTAAATAAAAAAACAAAAAAACAAAAAGAAAATGCCGATGTGATCTCCGACGTTTCCGACGAAGTGTCTATGTTGGCCTAACGCAAATTTCAGATCTCATTTTTAATATAGTTTTAGTTAATCTCTCTGTGAGAATCAAACATATATTTGTTAAACAAAATGACTTGTGAGATTCAGGTTCCGGATCCGCGTTGTGTGTTATTTTTTATATCCTGTACCAAAAAACCAGAAATCTCGTTCGCGTAACAACGTGATTATACTAGAATTAAATAATAATAATAATAATCTTAATGTTTTTTGTACAGATTGCAAATGGCGTGAAAGTCTTCTAATGTCATTTTCAATTTCAGATAAGAAAGAAATCAGTTAACTAGAGTCAAGCATATTACGTATTAAATTCTACTAATGTATAAGAGTGGTAAACTAAATGTTTGTCAGTAGAATAAGTCTATACTCGGTCGACACACACATTCTTGATTAAAAAAAAAATTAAAAAAACAAAAAAGAAGAAAAGATAAACGCGAGTATTCTAAAAATTGTATTTTTGCAATTGTATTTTGCACTTCTTATTCTTTTAAGTATTAAGACGCATAGCATTTGTGCTAAATATTTTCATGATGTTGTAAAAAATGCAACTTTCGCAAGAAATTAATAATTAATCTACTTTTGTGTGTGGACTAATGTTTTATATGCTTGTGCATTAAAAAAAAAAAAAAATGACGAAACGCTTTGGACATTCACGCAGCTAAGTTTAAAATGGTGCTATAAAACATATTTATCCGGTAAACACAGTTTTATGTAGAAAACAAACACAGTTATGCTATTTCAGCTTAACAGCTACCCATTTATGTTACTTATACTAATTTTGCTAGACGGTTCTATATTTAATGCAGGTGGACAGTATCTCTCTCTTTCTCTCTTTGTCTCTCTCATTCTCTCTCTCTCTCTTTCTCTCAGCTATAGTTGCAGTAATAGCGTTTTTTAAATAGACCGCGTTTAATTTCAATTTGCGAAGTCGTTCGCGGAAAAGTTAGTTATCAGAAAATATCTTACATGGCGTTTTAAAAAAAATTTTCAACACGTATTTCTTGAAACAAACGCACAAGTATGCCGCAAACACGCAGTTTACATATCTTTCCGTCATGTGTATCTTTCATACACCTGTTGCATAAAATTTACAGATTTGTTAGAAAATAATCTTCAAATGACAAGCGGGAGAGTTTTCACGACCATTTTTGCTCGCTGAAAATGCATCAAAAACTGTGCTTGCTGTGTAGTTACAGCGGGAACACTTCTCTGTATATTTATACAATAATACTTTCTTCACGATTGTTGTGAGAAAGTGTCACAGTGTTATACAAACACCTAACACTTTTCTAACTTTTTTTCTCAAAATATCTAAATACTACATGTTCTATAAATCGTAAAACTATTTATAAAAAAACTCGCTTGAGTATCGCAAAATTTGTACTTCGCGCGTCATTTTAATCTATTTTACAAAACCAATAATCTCTTATTGTGTGACAGAGTACACGTTTCTTTGAGATGTGAAATTTTATTGATTTTAAAAGATAACAAGAATATATATATAACATATTGCGGTAACGAGACATATAAATCGTTAAGAGAATGTTTCAATTATTAAATAACTGTGTTTGTTTGGTATTTCTCTATCAAACTTTTTTATTACTTGATAAATTTTTTAGATGAGATAACACATTGTTTTACTTACAATCAATGTGCAAAATATGTTTATTTTGAATTGTTATTTTTTACATAACAAAATGTAGAATGTTATCACATAAATGATGTTATAAGATAAATGTGACAAAACTCATACACATACACACACACACACACACACACACACACACACGCACGCAGCAGTGAGATAATTAATTCCGCATAAATTTTAACTTGCATTGTAAGAAATAAACCAAATATTTCATAATGTTCTATATATATATATGTATATATATTCTTCTGAAAAAAATATCTGAGAAATACTCAAAAACTCGTTTGCGTTGCGAAATGCAAAATAGGATAAGATTTGATCGATTTTATAGATATAGATACTACGCAAAGATGTTTAATAAACTTTTTTCAACACGAATCTGTTAGTTTCGTTTTTTATTCTTCACTCTAACGTTTGCCGTCTTACTTTTGCTATTACAGTTCTCTAAATTTTTAGCTCAACTAAAAAAGTGTTCCCTATTATCGCGTTTGTGTAAGCGCGCGCGTTGATTTTTCGCTATTTGAGGTATGGGAAAAGTTTTTGCATATCCGAATAAATTTCAAATCAGGCGATAAAAGTCTCTCTAGTTACGCTAACGATGTGTTAATGAGAAAACGGAATAATATTAAGCAATGTATTTTTCATCATAGTTTTTAAAACGTTCTATTTTAATTTTGTAAGCTCGCGCTGTTAGTTCGACTAAAAATTATAATTTGCAATAAAACTTATCGGGAAAATAAATTGCAGACACGTGAAAAATTGGCGTACTGTCGCAACTGCGATTAAAAATGCAATTTTTGTTTATCACGCGATTTATCAACTCATGCACGTATTTGCCAAAATTACTCGTACTTGCCAAATGTGTTCCTTTGCGCATATTTGCTCGAATATTCGTTTAGTTGATATTCCGTATAATGATATTTCTGAAGTAATTGAAGGGTTTGAGAGCCATCTCTTGTTACTCTAATAGAAACTATATATCATTTATAAGCTACAAAGACTTTCGTAGTGTGTGCGTGTTTCGTGCGGAAAGAGAAAGGTATATACCGCACAAGAAATATTAATAATTACACGAATATATCAAACGCAAATGTTAAAATAAAAAGCTTGACCGTTGTACTTTCTCAGAGAGTTGTACATATATCCGAAACAAATAACCGAACTCTTCAACGGATTCAGAACGAGGGTTTTAATTTCCTCTTCTCGCGCATAACGTAATGTATGTTGAGTATCGGAAATTAAATATAAAAAAACGTATTTGAAAATTCTTATAATGGGATTTAATATCAGAGCACACATATTGTACACGTTTTCTCTTTTTCTCTCTCTCTCTCTCTCTCTCTCTCAAATTTTGTTCTTATGTGTGTGCGTGTGTGCCGTCAACTCTTCTCTGGATTTAATAATTCTTACCGCAAACGTTGGGATAAAAGCACGGTCTATCCAAACAAACACATGAAAGGTCTTGTAAAGCTCAGGAAAGGATATTGTCTCTTGTAAGCCACTTGATCCTGTATCTTATCGCTCCGCAAGGAATTTATCCCAACCTAATTATTAATCAGAGGTCGCGGCATCAGTTTCAAAAAATAAAACCAAGTTTCAAGAAATGAAAATTTTTTTTTCTTCAATATGTATATTACGTTTCGCGACATTTGTCACTTCGTGATATTCGATCCCGTTCTCCTGCGACGAAAAGTTGCAAAAATAATGGAGAAACGCGACAACAACTTTGTTACACCGATTACATAAATCAATTAGCGAATAAATCGTGTGCGTTTAAGATAGTTCTCGTGTTATTTCCGCTAGCTTTTTACGAGTTACATAAAGTTTGGTCGCAGATACCCGACACGTAATGCGTATATGATATTATGCATAATGCATAACGCTTTTGTGGCCGCGTTCCATAAGCAGTTAGAAACCATTTCAAAACTGTTACAGTTTCATGAAAATACTCCTTAGTTTCTGACGTTGGCTACAATTTCATTAGTTTACAAAATACAGTTAATATGTTCGCGATATAAACTCCCGATAGTAACCGAGATTTTTCGAGAGTCGAGATCGCGTAAAAAAAGACTCTTCGCTTTTTCTCATCAAATTTTATATTCGTTTTATCATCTCCTCTCGTGCGAAAGTCAAGGAATAAGACGCTGTATCATCCTCTTATATTCGCCGATAAACTTGAAATTTTTTCTGTGCCAAAGATAAATTATATAAAAATCGCGTGATTTCGGTTTTACAAATGTTACATATTAAACTTTTACGCGCGAGTGCGCGTAAAAGTTATGGCATTTTCAGTGCAAAATGCGTTTCTATTGCGTTGATACTTTTAATCAGTATTAATTTAATCATATTGTGTTTTCAATATTTCCCGTATTATATATTTATATTGGGATATTTATGTGCGATTATATAATAATAATAAATTGTATATAATAATAAATTGATTATAAATTGGAAATTCACAAAATCTCATCAAAATCTCACGTAAAAAATGCATTTCTATCGCGTTAATACTTTTAACCGATATTAATTTAATTCATTTTGTTGTTCTCGTCTTTTTCTCGTATTATACATATTTCAGAATATTTATCGCGATTACAAATTTTAAGTTCGCAACATTTTATGTCACGTAAATTATAAATTGTTGTTACTTAATAATTTAAAATCACTCAAGATTAATATTATTGCTCCTTGGCAAACTTGTCATAAACGTTTTACAGAAAAATCCAAATAATTGATAAATTCATGTTAATTTGCATTTCGAATTAACAGTTAAAGCCAATTCCCCAGACTGTTTATTACAGAGCAATGTATGTAAACCAGAGGTTCAATATTATACGACTCTATCAGGTAGTTATTATTTAATATCTGTCTTCAGAAAATATGGATTTTGTGCAGCTTTGTGCTCCGTGGCACACGTGTTACAATTTACTAATATGTAATAATGCACGCATGTTAAACGCAATTGTTCTAAATATTGATTTTTCCGAGATTTAAATAAATTATAATATATTATCAAGCCCGGGAGTTCGACCATACAGCGTTCTATTTCATTAAATTTTGTCAGATCATAAGCGTCTTTTTCTACTTAACTCGCGCCTGAGCGCAAGCGAATATTCGCGTTAAGTTCAAATAATAGTACCTGATTATTATTAAAAAATAATGAGACATTTCTCCAAAGTAATGTAACACTTTTTAAAAGTAATATAACATTTCTAAGTGATTTTATAATTAATAAAATAATTTATGCCCGCAGACAACAGAAGTTATGCGGAAGAGAGTGTAATAGTAAATATTATAAGTTTTATAAATTTATAAGTTTTATTTAACGTCATATAAAATTATTAAGAGATAAACAAAAATTGAAGATACAAAGATAGATAATTAAATCATCATCTAAACATTATCTACGTAGAACAGCTATTAATTTATTTCAATTCAGATCAGAAAACGGGAAGAAAGATAAAGTATACCAAAAGAATTTACCACATAAGTGAGTATCTTCTTGGTATTTTAAAGATGTACCATTATATTGGCAGCTAGAAAAATCGCTCAGTTGAAGACGGTTTCAATTCACTTCTTCTTCACATTATAATCGACATCTACACGCCACATGAATACTCCGAGAATTCGCATACATTTCAAAGAGATGCCGCTTAAATTGCTGTTAAGAGAAAGCTCTTTCAAGAGTTCCAAGTGTTCTAGTGTCTTTTAGATTTTGATATTATTCTTATCTTGAAAATTTCGCGATATTCTTGAAGACTTAAGGAAATATTTTTAAGGCTTAAAGACATCACAAAGTCTTTAACATGGATTAAGTCTTTCTTTAACGCTTAGTGTTATCATAAATAACAACTATCTTGCAAGAAAGTATACTTGTTTAAAAATAAGGAGACAAAAACTATTTTATACAATTATAAATAAAAATAATGAATTAATAAAAATATTGCACATATATATATTTACATAGCTGCACAATGTTTGAAATTTTGTTTATTATAAATCTGTTCTACATGCAAGTGGCTATTAAAATAAATCGTTCTTTCATTACAAAAATAATAACAACATGCATTGTTAACATCAATAGATTTTCGTACATTTTGTATTTGTGTTTTTAATTATCACAATTTCATGTTCTCGTTAGAAAATCTTTTTTGTTGCAAATTTTATTATAAATTGTATAAAACTTACAAAAGACCTAGATTTTCTATATTACAATTCTCTCTATGTGGGGAAAGTTTCATACTAATTTTAAAACCTCACTTCAGCGAAGCTTTTTGTGGAGAACGTAAAGAAGACGTCTTGAAATATGAAAGTTTGTCAAATATTTTGTGAAGGAGAAAGGTAGAGAAAAAAATTGTTAGTTTCTAAACAAATCGGAATGTATGTATATTGATATTAATATATTGCATAAATAAAGTGTTTTGTTATTTTAGATTATAAGTACCACTTTTGATTATTTGTTTTAAAATAGTATGAAGATATATCATCAATATCTGGGCGTGTCCGATAGATACATACGATAATATCAGATTGATTTGATTGAATGTAAGAATAAAATGCTTTTTCCGACTCTGCCGCTTGTACGATAGATGTGGACAGTCTTGATCGATCGGTTTTAATGCAGGTAACAACGTCAGAAAGGTAAACTGCAGAAACATTTACAGTTTGTGCATTTATTTTTTATAATTTGTGTAAGTTTCTCAATAATTCAATTTAAAAAATTTGTACTTATTTTATTCTATGCAAACTTTAATTTATAATGAACAATAACTCTCATATCAACTCGATATGTTGCACACACAATTTGATATTTTATATTTACAATATATTTCTATAAAAAATAATGTCCCCTTTACCGTTTTATTTTTATTTGCATTTTAACCAATGGAGACATTGTACACGCT